ACCTTTTAGTAACAAGATTATGTTGACACAGCTCCATCACTGAAAATCAGAGTATGTTAATGCTGTTTGTGGGCACTTTTGTCAACAAAATACTTCCACTACAACAAGGTGGTTTCACTTTGTTGGCAGCAGAGCACGCCTGCCAACAAAGCAGCATTCACACTTTCATTTCACTTGCTGCAGCAAAACTTGGTCATTGGGCAGGGTAGGGAGAGTTTAAACTCCAATGAATGACAAAAGTTTTGTGGACCAAGTGCAAGTTTAGACAGTCTTAGATAGTCCTGTGGCAATTAAGTTCAACATTACATTCAATATTCAGAATTGTTACTGGAAATGTTTTCCTCAACCTTTCTAGGCAGTTGCTAATGGTGATGTAAGATCCTCCACTTAGAGGAACACCCAGCCTATTCTCAGCAGGTGCTGCTCAAGATGACTAGACTTGTCTTAGCTAGGAAAAGTGTGAGAAGGGAAGAAAGTGTGCTTTTTGGGTTTTTTTAAATAACCCATGTTGTCCGTGTTAGGGTTATAACAGCTGTTACACACACAGGATGTTTAGTGAAGACAAAGGCTAAACTGGATGGGTTTTATTTTAACCACATGGTAGTTATTGCATTAGCTAGCCAGACTGTAAATTCTATCACACACCACGCAGATGACTGGTCAAGGTCAATGCAGCTTAAGGATAAACAGGCTAAGCTACAATCAAAGTTAGGTAGGACTTAAGTCAATTTAGATAACACACAATTTTAAAAGTGAAGTGCAAATACATGAGATTTCCTATGACTTCACCCCCTACAAAGCTGGCTGCATAGTTTTGTCATTTAAAAATTGTCATAGCACTTTAATGCAACCAGATGTATGGCTAGTGTTGTATCCTTCTTGCCTAATTACTGTCCTGTATTTCATCTTGTTCATATTCCACTGTAAGCACTAAGCAAATGTATGTGTTTTAATACATTAGTAAAGTGCCACATATGCATATAGTACTCTATAAATGTTTATTATTCAGCTGTTTATCCAGAAATTCTGGATAAATGTAGATTTTACACCAGTTTTCTTGAGTTCACTGTTCTCCAGAGAATGGAGTCTGTTTAAATGGGAGAAATGGAGTCTTTAATTTCTCATGGGGTTTACAAACTACTATTACATGCACTGCTGAAGCAAAACTCTTGAATGAAGGAATCATTCAGACTCAATTTATTCTATGCCTAATGCCATACAACTTATCTAAAAATCAACTACAGGAACAAGTGGTTACAGATAACAGCAGGCAGGACAATTCTGACCCCAAAGATGGGCCTAACATAGTTAGAAGCTTGACTTGAAAGTCCTTTTCTTTCCTTCCTGTCTGAACACCTGTTTATTATACAACTTAAACCTCTGCACAGTATGTTTCTCATTTCAATGATGAACTTTATATTAGACATTAAGAAGTTCTTCTGAGAAAACTGCCAGTTCTTGATCTATTTGTAAGCAGGAAGAGCCGGAAACTGGTACTGTTGTTTTTTATGACAAAAGACTTGAAGTTGCAGAGAAATGATATCTCCACCTCTTTTGGACAAGTACCACTACAACATTCAGGGGCAAGTCACGTGTCAAAGGACTCTTTCTCTTCAACTGACAAATGCTACATACACCTTTGATTTCATATTTCACAGATGAATCTCGTTTCCACTGTTAAAAACTTAACAGAAGTAAGTTCAGCTTTTCAGAGTTTCTTTAAATATTTTTCTAGTACAACTCTGGAACTTCAGTTAATTGTATCTTCCTAAGTTGAAAGAATACAACTATCAGAGTAATTCAGTTATGGGACCTGCAGAATATCAACTATTTTATTTTCTAAAACAATGTAAGCACATATGAATTATCTCAAAATGCTACACATTAATGTAAAGAACTGCAATACAATTTAAAAGATTTGAATGTGCCCCTCTAAGACAAGAGTTATGGTAGAGGGATTTTGAAGGTCGAAGTTACCTTTGAAGTTAGAAAGAAAAATTAAGCTCCCAAAGTTGGTACTATAAGATTCAAGTTTATTACACAGGACATTGAAAGTTTTATTGATCTGTTAAATATCAAGATAATAAGTATTCAATAAAACGAAACAATCATTTAGAACGGAATAGCCAACCTCACTCTTCTAGTTATTTATGGAATGAGAATCCATCAGTTGCACCGTGTTCTCCACTGGTAGAGGTAGTAGAGGTTACTGATTTATGTGTGTGTTATGATCTGACTTGCTATTTTATACTCTGGCATGCTATTAACTCAAGTCTAATTAAACAAATGAAGATCTGTTAATAAATGAGTAGTAGTCTAACAAGAAGAATTTCAAATAAGAAATTTTGAAAAGAGACAGTTGACAACTGCAGGATGCTAGTTAACAACACAAAGTTTACTTTATGTCACTGTGCTTTTCTTTCACTAGGTGGACTCTGCTGGCAAATCATTAATTTTAAAAAGCACTACATGTGTTGGTCGATATCAAAGACAACATGATTAGAGGGGTATTTAAGATCTGAGTGACCTAAGAAAACAGGTGAAATTAATGAAAAAAATAATTCTCCAGCCTTATTCTCCCTTAGCTGTCTTACTTCAATTCTCCAAACTACAACAGTTGTATTACACTGGGGAGTGTGGGAATATTTCATATGATATATAAAATAGTTTAACAAATATATCATGTAAGATTCATTAATTACAGATAATACAAATAACTCCAAAAGAGTTTGGCTTATATGAAGTAACATTGAGGAAGTGAAATATTAATACCTGGATGCATAAATAGAAGAAAATGTAATCAAGATGGCTGCTTAATGAGTTATTTGGCAATGCTCTCCAAACTTAATTGCAGCAATCAAGGTTCTAGAGGAGTAGGGATAGCTGGGCAAGATATTATCATCTGCCCATGCCCAACTTTGTCTCTGACTCAGATTTAGAAACACAACCAAAAACATAAAAAGTCAGCTTTATGCCAGCCACCACCTCCAGTTTTCCCCAAAGACAGTCTATGTGCAACACCACAAGAAATTACTTCAAAATTCATTTATATCACTCTTTTTATGGTTTGAATAGCCCACAGAAATTTTATTAATAGCTCTATTGTCTTTGACTATATCAAAAGCAGCAGTATGGAGGGGGCACGCAGCTACCCAGGAGCCAATGTGTGGGGGAGCTGGCTTAAAAGCGGCTCCTGCTTGGTCCTTCCCCCCCCCCCACGCTACTGCCTGACACAGAGGCAGCAGGAAGGCCATGCATGGAACCATTAAGGTTAACCAACGAGTCCAGACTCATCAGTTAACTGTTTAATTGCGTATACGAACACATTCCTAATTTGTACAGCACCCAGCACAATGAAGCCCAAATCCTCACAGGGGTTTCTGGGTCTGGCATTTCTAAGGCAATATGCATAATACTATCCTCACAAAACAGAAACTGTAAACTTAAAAAAAAAGTCCTGATTCCTCATCCCATCTCCCAAGCTAACGTCATGTCATATCAATTAACACCACAATATTTCTGTAAGGCAGAGCCGGGGTGGAGTACTTCTTTTTACACAGGCTACCTAACAGCATTTTATGTCTAGTTTGCTTAATTATTTTCTCTGAATAAGTCCTCTTTTCCTCTTTATGTATTTCATATGGTGCTAAGGAAAATGCACTTAAAACCAAGCCAGAACAAAGAGCAACACTTTGTTTTACAGTTTTTGTGGCTTTACAAGTACTCCAAGGTAAGTATAGGACCTGAAATTTGATTTAAAAAAATTCAAGCTGATGTTATCCCAGTGGGGAACCTTTTTTAGTGTCAGGGACTGCTGACCTACAGGAAAAAAAAAATCAGTCGGAGCCCACAAAGACATAAGAAGCCCCTCAAAAAAAAAAAACCCCAAAAAAACCTACAGGCTAGTAAACTGTGCTCCAGCTCTACTGACAGAGGACGGGGTGAGGCTGGAGCACCGACACATGATTTTTGTGTTGTTTGCATTATTTAAAGCAGGGGTGAGGAACCTAGACAGGGGTGGGAAAGCTACTGAAACCTTTGAACATAAGAACTGGACTGGTTCATCTAATACCACTCCTTCTGCTCAAACACTAGTTTTCATTATCCTATGCACTGTAACTTTCCCAAAAATCCATTACTTTAGCTGATATATTAAAAGAAGCAGTTATAGTTGCAAGTTACTTTTGCACTGTCAATGAAAATTTCAGAGTGCCATGTTAGTGTGTTTCAGTAAAAACCAGTATTTAAGACACAATGTACATACTTGAAAAGCTAGTAGTTTTTAACTAAAATTTTCTTTGAAGAAAAAAAGATGCTAAAGAATCATCAGCTTGAGCTGCTCTTAAAGTTGATAGTTCTTTAACAGTCCCTCCTGGTTTCCAGTTGTATTGCCCCTTAGCTAGTTTAAAAATAATCCACAGCCTTTACATTAACAACAGAATTGACCATGTTCTTTTTTTCCTGAGTTTAAAAAAAGGCCTCTTTTTCCTCCTCGCTCAAAAAAATAAATGTGTCCAGGAAATAACAGAGTGCCTGTGAGCCAGGAAGATCTAGTGTCAGGCAGGCTGTTTGCTCACAGACCAAAGAGGCTCCAACGTGGCAGATTAACCTGCAGAACAGTAAAACTAATGACAGTCGCAGTCGCTGATAATGCTGCTGCCCATTGGCAGAGACGGGCTGCACGCTGATTGCATGACTCCCTGCAGCCGGGCGAGCTGGGGGAAGTGGTGAACTCCCAGTCCCGGCAGGGCTCCCCCAGCCACACCTGCCTGGCTCTCACTGCAGGGAAACACAAAGGGAATGGGCACCTTTTGGGTGGCCCTGATCCGGACTCACTTGGCGCCAGCTGTCTGGGTCCCCGCAACACGGGAGGGGACTGGCCCCCCCAGAAAATACAGGGGGCCTGAGCCGACCTGGACTCATCCCCCGCTACCTATCGAGCTCCTCGCAGCTAGTCCCTGCGGCGCGGAGGCTACCCACGAAAGGGAGGGGGGACTCACCCAGCCCCTCCTGACAGGCTCTCCGCAGCTGGCCGTACGGGGGCCGCTTCGCCTCCTTCTCCGCTAGGATCTTCTCCAGGGCCCGGGAGACGAACATGCTCTTGGTGCGGGTGTCCTGTTCCCGGGCCGGGGGCTGCATGGCCGAAGGCCCCGGCGGGGGGAAGGGAGAACGGGGCTCAGAGGCTCCGCCCGCGTCGGGGCCCCATGATATGGAAGAGGCGCGACTCCCTCAGCAGCGGCAATAGAGACAGGGACACGGCGCCGCCATATTGGGGCCGTCACGTGACTCCTCCAACTCGTCCCTCCTCCCCCTCCCCCCGCGCCTTCCGGCGTGACCTCTGACCCACAAAGCTGCCAATAGTGACAGCAGCGGGGGGCGGGGTTGGGAGAGTGGGTGTGGCCTGGCAGAGGGGCGTGGCCACGGTGTGTGGAGGCGGGGGCTGGGTTGATGATGAGATCACAACTAGGGGCCTACAGAGGAGGGAGGAAGAAGGCCTCCTGCCCCCTCAGTGCTTCAGCCCCTATTACAGCTGCACTTGCCAGGCCGCAGTCGCTGGCCACTAGCTAGCAAGGATGCTAGCCGCATACGGCTGCCTGGGCTTAAGCGTGGGCTAGAATGGCGTGCACGTGCAAGGTGCTCAGAGGGCTTGTGCTTGCGTTCCTAGCTGTCGCGTACACTACTATAGTGTGTGCTAGTTTATTTATACACATGTAGCTTCCAACCTCTGTGATTTTCACCTCACTCATGCGACAAAGTGGTTTTTATTCACGAAAGCTTATGCCCAAATAAATCTGCTAATCTCTAAGGTGCCACAGAACTTGCTTTTTTCACACTACTATACTTATCCTTGCCCTCTCCTATGGGAATGCCTAACCTGTGTTACGGTGGCACCCGTTCTTGTGGTGTAGACATACACTTAGGCTATGTCTACACTGGCGTGATCTTGTGCCAGAAATATGCAAATGAGGCTGAGTGGAATATTGCCACGCCTCATTTGCATATCTAATGAGCTGCCATTTTGCGGAAGAGGCTCTTGCACAAGAAGTAGCGTCTACACTGCCCCTTCTTGCGCAAGAAAAACCCTCTTGCGCAATGCCGTTACACTAATTATTTTCAGGAATAACGGCATTGTGCAAGAGGGTTTTTCTTGCGCAAGAAGGGGCAGTGTAGACGCTCCTTCTTGTGCAAGAGCCTCTTCTGCAAAAATGGTGGCTCATTAGATATGCAAATGAGGCTCACTGATATTCCATGCTTAGCCTCATTTGCATATTTTTGGTGCAAGATCGCGCCAGTGTAGACATAGCCATAGTCAGGAGGCACCAGTGTGGCATTGTCTCTATGAAGAGGTTCATGTCACTGTGACAGGAAGTGATTCTGCAGGCCATGCCTCAACATCAAGTTTGCTTGGTGACATATGACAAGCCAACATCACTATTTCTTGGAATAGTGGTGAGCAACCTGCAGCTCACAGGCCACATGTACCTGATTGGGGTTCTATATGTGTCCTACAAGACATTTTGTTTACTGTTGCCCACGTGTAGGGCTGCCATATTCTGCTGGTTTCCATCCGCACTGGTTTTTTCCTACTGCTGGTAGTAGAGACACACACATAAAGTGAGGTGTGTGCTGATGGCATACAACATTGACTGTAAGATGTTGTAAAGTGCATCCTCTCTGCATCCCATCAAAGCAAAGCTATGGCTCAGTTGGCAGACTCTGCAAATTCTAGGTATGAAAGCATAATGCTCACAGGCAGAATCAAACCTGGGATCTCTACAGCTAAGTTCATAAGCCTTTACCACATGAGCTCAAAGCCAGCTAGTGCTCGACTAAGGCTGTAGAGCAATCTCATTATTTTCTCTATAAGTGGTCTCAGTGCCACTAGATGGGATACTACAGCGTTTCTCAATCAGTTGTATGAGTACCTGTATGGGTACTCCAGATAAGGCTGGGGGGTACGTCAATACAACTGAAATTTGGAGCATTTGAAACATTCAAATCTGAATGTTGAGTTGCATTATGCCAGTGTTTCTCAAAGATTGGTACAAATATTCTTAGGGGTACTTGAGAGAAGTCTGGGGGATACATCAACAACTGAAACTTGGAGAAAACAGAATTTTTGTTTTAAGTTTTACAGCGCTTTATTATTTTTGTACTTTTTACACCCAAAAATTTCATCACCAGCCTGGCTACAATTAAGTTGTTTAAACAAATGTGTTGCAATGGTAGAAAAAAAATAGTGTGTCTGAAAACTGTAGATACTGGGGGTACTTATAATTTTTTTAAAAGGGGTACTTTATAAAAAAAAGATTGAGAAACACTGGGACCTCTACACCACCATGAGTAGATGTGTGGGTTACACAAGCACAATCAGCAAAACTACTGTAGGCTGGGAAACCATCTTGGTTATGACAATCTTGTGGTGCACAGAGATGAAGGAGATCCATAAGAATATAAGAATGGTCATACTTCGTCAAAGCAAAGGTTCAGGTAACCCAGCATCCTGTTTTCTAGCAGTGACTAATGCTAAGTGCCCCAGAGAAAATGAACAGAAGTGCTCTCTCCTGTCATCTATTCCCAGCTTCTGACAACAGAGGGTAGTGCACCATTCATGCACATCCTGGCTAATAGCAATTGATGGACCTATCCTCCATGAATTTATCTAATCCTGTTATAGTCTTGCATTTTACAACATCTTCTGGCAAGAAGTTCCACAGGTTGACTATGTGTTGTGTGAAGAAGAAACTTCCTTTTGGTTTGTTTTAAACCTTCTATCTGTAGTTACCTAGGATACTAGGTTTCCCATTGCTAGTGCCCTCACAGAATACTCCTCCTTCTGACAGGGCTGAATCTCACAAATCAGATCAGAAGGTATGTGGGTAGCAGAGTATCATTGATTAGCTCTGTGAGCTGATGAACATTTGAGAACATTGTATTGAAGTGTCATCACATCAAATATGAAGTACATTCATTGCTATATTATATTGCAATGTGATTAGTTTGGTTGGAAATAGGTATTTTATATTAAAAATAAAAAAGTTCATTTGTCAGCGATTTGTTTTTATCTGTCTGAATCAAAATGAAAAAAAAATTGATTAAAAATATGAGTTTCTCTTCAACTGAAAAAATTCATTTCAGTTTTGAGTTTAGAATCCTAGAAAAGTAGGGCTGAAAGAAAATTCAAGAGATCATTGAGTTCCAGTCTGAATCTTTTTTTTCTGAATCCCTGCCCCTTCTCCCCCCGCCCTCCACAGGTTACCAAAACTCCATTGAGTAAAACAAAAGTTGCACATATATTGAATTAATCTCATAATCAAGAACCCCATCCAACATTCCAAAAAAAGCATTATCCCAGTCCCACCATTCACTGCTCCTTATCAGATATTTCCCCCCAAAACATTCCTGAATTACATTATCTTCTTGGCTGTCCAGCTGTTGCTTGTCCTCTGGGATAATAATATTTAAGTAAAAGGGAAGAGGATTTTGAAGCTGCATTCATTAATAATGCTCAAAACGCTTTGAGATCTTTGGAGGAAAGATATTAAAATAATGTGAAGTTTTGTTTTTATTTTAATCAAAGGTCTGTACACAGAAAACCGGTGCAACTCCCCTCTATTGAGAGATGTTATACAATTCTACCAAGAAGGCCAGCTGAAGCCACAGATAACAAACAAATGTTCTGTCACAGGTTAAGGTAATGAAGAAGAGAAGTGATTTCTCACACAAAGAAAATTAAATTCTCATTTTAAAAGACCTTAGTCCCTGGACTGAAAGCAGGAGAAAGGAAATGGATTAAAGAAAACTGTTTTTTATTAGCAAGCAAGGGCTGACATTACAGTTTTGGAGCAACCAAGTTGTAGATCATATGCACAGAAAACCCCACCTGCTCTAAAACATTAGATCAGCATCAAGTTTTCAGGAAAAAGTCCAGAAGGATAGCTATCAAAATGACTAAGACTAAGCATGCTGAGATAGAGAAGCAGCCTTCACTGCATCACCTTTGGCTCCAACCCAATGCACTACACTATAAGATAATTATTTGGGTACATTAAAGGTGCTTCCAGTGGAAACTAGGTCTGTCAAGCAATTAAAATATTTCGTCACGATTAATCGCATGCACCTCCCCTTTGAAACACCATAGTGGTGTTTCAACGGGGCAGTGCTGAATGGAGCCCGAGATCAGCTGGAGTCTCCAGCTGATCCTGGACTCCAGGGAGCGCTGCCTCTTGGAAGCTCCGTGGCAGCGTGAATCTCTGCATGAATCTCAGGAGGGTGTGGAGCTTCAGCCCCCTTGCCCTTCCTAAATGGGACCTAGGGGGGAGTAGGGGCGGTTCTGGGGGTTGGGGCAGTCCCAGACAAGTGGGGGAATGCACCTCCAGCCAGATCCTTTAACTTGCCTGCCTGCAGCTTGGCAGGAAGCCCTGAGAGCGGGTCATGCCTCCTCCTGAAGCCAAGTGTTCCAGCTCTCCAGCTCTTTCTTACTGGAGCAGTGCACTGGGGGCTCACCAGAGTACTATCACCTCTGGGTTCAGGGTCCTAGTCTGCAGTCCTGCATGGTGGGGCTTCATTTTCTGCCCTGGACCCTAGTGAGTCTAATGCCCACCATGCTTGGCAGACCCCCTGGAACTGGCTTGTTGTCCTGGACTCCAGGTTGAGAATCCCTGTTCTAGGAGGTAAAGAGCTATACAGTAGATGAATGAAGACTTATTCAAGCAGGAGGACTTTGGAAGCTATGTTTCATGGTGATGGGGAAATTATAAAGAAAAAGATCATATCAAGTAAGATGAAATTAGATTGTAGGAACTATAAAAATGCTTAAAAGGTGGAGCTCATTGCAGGATTGAGGCCTTCGTTTAGGTTTAATTTTTTGCTGAAAGTCTTCCTGCAGCCTAGCAATTTGTGTGGTTAGTTCAGGTTTTCTTTACAGATAACTTTTATGGCACACTAGAAGATTTATGCAGCATTGTTCGGGTGCTCACCTTAAATAAGTTTTGTCTTTCTTCATTTAAATCATTGTTCTGGAGTGGGGCTGGGGATAAGAGGTTCAATATGTAGGCTGCCATGGGGAGAGAGGACAGCTTGAGCCCTCTCTCATAGTAGCATTTTGGGGCCAGGTGAAAAGAACTGTTCATGGCTGCTGCAGCTCCAGCAGGCACAGCTGGGAGAGAGGTGCATGTCCCCCAGCTGGGGAACAGACAGACACACAAACAAACTCTGAAATATATAGTAGATAGCTGTCTCTTTCTCTACTTCTGCCCTCTGCTCACACAATGGAGTTATAGCTCTCCAGGTCCGCATCTCTGACCCCTTGCTGCCCCCC